CTCCCCAGACTGCTCCCAGACAGGCCAAGACACCCCCAAGAGAGGCCGAAACCGGCCCAAGAGAGCTTAAGATTGTCTCCAGGCCCGCCCAAGACAGCCCAAGAGAGCTCCAAGACAGCGCCAACAGCGGCCCAAGAGAGGGAACACGCACCGAACAGTCGAGCTCTCCGCTCCAAGATGCTCCCGGGAAGCCCTCAGAGTCCCCGAAGACAGCCCAGAAGGCTACCAAGAGGCCCCCAAGAGGCCCAGAAGAGGCCTCCAGAGGCTCCAAAACGGCCTCCGAGAGGCTTCACAACTGCCTACCCAGGTCCCCCAAACATGCTCCGGAAACGCGCTGCCGGAGCACGTTGCCGCCTCTCCTTCCAGCGTTCGGTCTCGCGCGTCCGAGAGCCATTGTCATCCGGCCCCGTCGCCGTCCTATATATATATATATATATATATATATATATATATATATATATATATATATATATCCCGGGGGAGCAGGCCCGGGGCCCGAAAACAGCTGCCTCGACCCTCCATGGGGGTACCGGGGCTCATTTTCCCTATGTTTTTGCAGGGTTTCCGCGTCCTGGGCCTCGGAGGCCGCCGCCTCCGACCCCCCATGGGAGGACGGGGCGGCCGGGGAGGTCCAAAATAGTCCAGGAGGGCCTCCAGAGGCTCCCAAGACGGCCCAAGCGGGCCCCGAGTCGCCGAAAGACCGCTCCAGGACGCCCAAGATAGGCCCAAGACGGCCCGAGAGGCCCCCCAAGGCACTCCACGACGCTTCAAGACGCCTCTCCAGAGCGCTTCAAGAGGCCGAAATCGTCAATTTTACGAAGGTTTTCGAACGATTTTGGCCTTCCAGCCTTTTCGGCTGTCCGACGTTCCAAGACGGCTCAATAGGCCTCCAAGAGCGCCCCAAGACGGCCCAAGAGGGCCCCAAGACGGCCCCAGAGTCGCCCAAGACAGCCCAACAGAGCCCCAAGACGGCCCCAAGATGCGCCCAAGAGGGGGACCACGACTCCAAAATTCGACCCTCCCGCTTGAAGAGTGCCCCAAGGAGCCCCCAAGAGGCCCCAGAAGGCCCCAAAGCGGCACCCAGGAGGCCCAAACGAGGCCTAAAGAGGCCACAGAACAGCCCCGAGGAGGCCCCATCACGGTCCCCAAACGGCTACCAAGAAGCTGCGAAACTGCCTTCAAGACGTCCCCACAGGCCAACCACGAGATCCAAACCAACACCCATGAGACCTCTGACCCACCACCCAGGGCACGGTGGCGGGAGCAGTGACAGCACTTGTGCACAGCATGTTCCAGCGGGAGCCTTCCGGAACACGCTGCAGGAGGCTCCAAGATAGCCGAAGAGGCTTCCAAGAGGGCCCTGGGCGGCCCACGAGGGCCCCAAGGCTGTGCCTGAGGCGCCCAAGACGGCCCGAGAGGGCCCCAAGACGGCCCCAAGAGAGGCCCAAGAAGGGAAACACGAACCGAGAATCCGAGCTTTCTACCCCGCGAGGTTCTCGGGAAGTCCCAAGAGGCCCCCAATCGGATCCAAGAGCCCCCCAAGAAGCTCCCAAGAGGGCCGACGAGGTTCTAAGAGATCTCCCAAGGTGGTCCCAAGCGGCACAACTCATTGTTTTACGATTGGGCTTTGACGGGTTTAATTTTTTGTCTGCCTTTTGGCATCCCGATGCTCCAAGACGGCCCAAGAGGTTTCCAATACCGCTCCAATATAGAGGAAGAGGCCTCCAAGAGGGCCCCAAGACGGCCCGCGAGGGCCCCAAGATGGTTGAGGCGCCCAAGATGGCCCGAGAGGGCCCAAAGAGCCCCAAGAGAGGCCCAAGAAGGGGGACGCGACCCAACAGCAGAGCGTTCCCCCCAAAAGGCCCACAGGAGGCCGCAAGAGGCCCCCAAGTGGTCCGACGAGGACCCCAAAAGCTTCCCGAGGGCCCAAAAGGCCCCTAGGAGACGTCCAAGAGGTTTTAAATAGCCCAAGAGTGCCCTCGATGCGTCTACCGGGAAGCTGCGAAGCTGCCTTCACGACGTCCCCGACAAGCCAACCACGAGATCCAAACCAACACCCATGAAGCCTCTGACCCACCACCCAGGGCACGGTGGCGGGAGCAGTGACAGCACTTGTGGACAGCATGTTCCGGCGGGAGCCTTCCGGAACACGCTGCAGGAGGAGGAGGAAGATCAGGAGGAGAGAGAGAGCTGGAGTGGGAGGAGGAGGGGGGAACGAGGAGGAGGAAAAGGCCTCCAAGACAGACAGCTCCAAGATAGCCGAAGAGGCTTCCCAGAGGGCCCTGGGCGGCCCACGAGGGCCCCAAGGCGGTGCCTGAGGCGCCCAAGACGGCCCGAGAGGGCCCCAAGACGACCCCAAGAGAGGCCCAAGAAGGGAAACACGAACCGAGAATCCGAGTTTTCTACCCCGAGAGGTTCTCGGGAAGTCCCAAGAGGCCCACAATCGGATCCAAGAGGCCCCCAAGAAGCTCCCAAGAGGGCCGACGAGGTTCTAAGAGATCTCCCAAGGTGGCCCCAAGCGGCACAACTCATTGTTTTACGATTGGGCTTTGACGGGTTTAATTTTTTGTCTGCCTTTTGGCATCCCGATGCTCCAAGACGGCCCAAGAGGCTTCCAATACCGCTCCAATATAGAGGAAGAGGCCTCCAAGAGAGCCCCAAGACGGCCCGCGAGGGCCCCAAGACGGTGCTTGAGGCGCCCAAGACGGCCCGAGAGGGCCCCAAGAGAGGCCCAAGAAGGGGGACGCGACCCAACAGCAGAGCGTTCCCCCCAAAAGGCCCACAGGAGACCGCAAGAGGCCCCCAAGTGGTCCGACGAGGATCCCAAAAGCTTCCCGATGGCTCAAAAGGCTCCTAGAAGACGTCCAAGAGGTTTTAAATTAGCCCAAGAGTGCCCTCGATGCGTCAAAACTGCTTCCAGGAGGCCCCCGGGAGGCTTCCCGATTGCCTCAATCTGGCCGCAGGTGGCCTCAAGTCGGGCCTCCACGCAGCCAAGACGGCCAATGACGGCTTCAGATTGCAGAACCGATGCCCCCAAGGGACCCTCAGACGCCCCCCCAAGAGGCACCCAAGAGGTGCCTCCAACAGCCAGTTGACGAAGCATGCGGAACACCCCAGAAGCTCCTCAGATGCTGTCGCGCGCCTGTGCTTGATAGCGTTGTCCAAGATCGTTCAGCGCCCCCCCCGGCCTGGGCTAGAACCCGAGCGCGCGCGAAGCGCGCGCGATGGTTCTAGTATATATATATGTGTGTTTCTATGTAGATATACATCTGTGGTATAGGTAGTTGTTTCTGCTCTGCAGAGGGGGGGGCGCTTTTGGGCAGTCTCCGCGAAGTGGATTCGTAGCCTCGGGGGCGCGACTGTGGCGTAATTTACATAGGGTCGTGACTTCGGGGGCGCGAATGTGGTGTAATTTACAACTGATCGTTGCCCCGGGAGCGCGAATGCGGCGTAATTTACGGGGGATCGTGGCCTCGGGGGCGCGAATGTTGTGTAATTTATCAGGGATCGTTGCCTCGGGGGCGCGATGGCGGGGTAATTTACAAGGGATCGTGGCCCTGGGGGCGCGAACGAGGTGTAATTTGCGAAGGGTCGTGGCCTCGGAGGCGGATCGTGGCCTCGGTGTCGCGGATTCGGTTTAATTTACGAGAGATCGTGGCCTCGGCGGCGCGAAGGTGACGTAATTGCTTCAGGGCCGCGAATGCGGTGTAATTTGCGAGGGGTCGTGGCCCCGAGGGCGCGAATGTAGCGCAATTTCCAAGGGGTCGTGACCTCGGATGCGCGAATGTTGTGCAAATTAAAACAGATCGTGGCCTCGGGGGCGCGACTGTAGGGTAATTTGCAAGGGGGTCGTGGCCTCGGGGGCGCGAGCGTTGCGTAATTTACGAGAGATCGTGGTCTCGAGGTCGCGAATGCGGCGTATTTCACGAGGGATCGTGGCATCGAGTGCGCGAATGTGGTGTAATTTTCGATGGATCGTCGCCTCGGAGGCGCGAGTGCGACGTAAATTACGAGGAATCGTGGCCTCGGAGACGCGAACATTGTGTAATTTACGAGGGATCGGGGCCTCGGGGGCGCGAATACAGCATAATTTGCGAGGGATTCTAACCTCGGGAGCACGAATCCCATGTATTTGTACGTGTCCCACGCCCTCCCAGGAATTCTGAGAACCCTCCCGGGGGACGCTAACCAGGGCCCTTTTCGGCTCCCCCCCCTCGCGCAGACAGTAATAATGTACAGTAGGAAGCAGGAAGCAATACTGTAAGATTGGAAACTGGAGCCTGGAACGGGTGCAGGGAACAGCAACCTCAATCCTCGCAGCCTGGTCCCAAGGGGGCCGGCGGATTTGGACGCCACTTCGTATTTATTATATACGTTGTAAAAGTTTGAGTCTGATTTTCTGGACCGTTCCAAAGCAGCAAGTCGCCATGACACCTGGGGGTACGAGGATGAGGAGATGTTTCAGAGATTGGAGGCTTGGTCGACGGGGGGCGGCCTGCTGGGTCAGCCTATGCCCTTCGACAGGCAGTTGCCGTAATAAACAATTTCCGTTTGGCTCGAAAGCTCTGTTTCGTCGGTGTGGTGTGCGTGGTCCGAGTTAGTGAAAGGACGGTAAAACAACAAGCATCGACACATTCCAGGCTCGCCGTGTTGCATTTGTATTCGCATACATGCGCACATGACCAGAGTCTTTCCCTCCTCAGTCGTCTCAGTATGCAAAGGTCAATTGTCTCTTTCGCTGCGGTCGCCTGCTTGCGTTTTCATTCCTGCCAGAGCGAACGCTCAAGCACGAAGCGAGTGCCCATTGAAAACGAATTGTGTTGCGTCGCACGGGCTTGAGCGCGGAGTGGGTCGTTATTAGCAGCCGTTCTATTTCATCACAGTTTGGTTGTCTTGATTAAGTGGTTCACTCGGCATTTTGCTGAGCCTCTCCCGTGCAATCGCTTGCTCTATTAGTGTTGAGTGCTCTCGGTGTCTTTGGCCATCGTTGGCGTGAACAGGTAGTGCTGACAGCCATAAAGCAGAACGGGTACGCCTTGCAGTACAGTGAGGCTCGGCAGCGATCATACGTCTGTTGCTTGCATTCAGAGTGGTTCGATCGTGCTGGGTGTTCCCCCAGCAGCTCTTGCACTTAGGGCCTCTTGCTTGACTGTTTAATGATTGGGTGGGTCTGTCAATGTTCCTTCTGTTGGGCGGTTGATGGCTGGTCGTGGGCGCCTCGTGGTCGCCCCGTCGAGGTTTTGCTTGGTTCGTGGTTGGTGGCCAGTCGTGGGAGTCTCGTTGGCCCACCGTGTGCTTGGTGTGCCTGTCGAGGTTTCGCCTGGTGGGCGGCTGGTGGCCGCTCGTGGAGGCCTTGTGCGCGCCCCATGGGCGGCTGCAGAGCTTGCACCAAATCGCTTGCACCACGCATACTGAACCACATGGCTGGCATCACATTACTCTTCCCAGCTTGATTTCGCCTAGCAGCTCATACCACACAGCTTGCACCACAACGTGATCATCACATAGCTTGCACCACATAGCTTGCACTACAACATGGCTTCTGGCACATAGCTCGCACCGCTTAGTCGTCACCACCTAGTTTGAACCACACCTGCAGCTTACATCACATACCGTGCACACCATAGCATACACCGCATAGTTTGCACCACATCGCTTATACCATGTAGATTGTTCGCATGCTGCGCCACGTGGATACCCGCCTGAGCTTGGACTTATGGAAACCCCGCCATTGCATGTTACATCTGATTGTGCCGCATCGTTCCCTCACGAAATTATACCATCCTGGCCCAGTCGACATTGACCCCCTTTACTTGTGGAGTATTGCTGCGCGCCTTCCCGCTTTTTTCAAAAAGATCATGTACCAGTCATCTTTTGCAAAGAACACGAAGTCCACGCGGGCGCGCGTACATGCCGAAACCATGCCAAACACACCACGTGTGCCAGGTTCTCGATACAAACACATGAAACAACCAATCTGATCTTCCAACACAATTCGGGCAGATGTTCGGTCCGCGCGCACTTGCTGATACCAGAGGAACACCGTATGATTGCATTATCATTTCAACACGCGGCGCGTCCGCGTTGACTTAGCACGTTACCAGTGCACCCAGTGCACGAATCCGTATCAAAGAAGCCCACATGGGCCACCTGCGTTTGCCGCCAATCGTGAACGTCGACATCCTTCCAGTACCCTTGTTTTTCGACGCATCTCTAGATAGAGCTAGTCAAAATGAAGTGAAGCAGAGCGTGTGTTTCCAACCACATGTATGACATATTTAATGTAACTTTGCGCTCTCGAACACGTCCTCATCCCTCTCATCAGTGCCGCGACATCACAGCCGTGATCGCCAACACCAATCGCTGGCATTGCCGCCATCTTGATTCAATGTCCCTCGACACCGGCATATGGGCATCATCTCTGTCGTTGCCGTCACCAGCATCAGCGCCGTCTGTTGCCTTACCGCCGTCATTGCCACCATCGCCACCACCATGGCAAGTCGCATCTTCGTTGCCACGATTGTCGGCATCATCATGATATCGCGCTAGCCGCTAGCCTGGTGTCCAGGGAACCACGTTTGCGTTTCCCTCCAGGGACAGCTGGTCAGAGATCCATCTTTTGTGCGATCCGTTTCAACTGTGGCTCAAGGGGGAACATTACTTGCTGCGACGGTTGGTATTGGAGCGGGGTCGGGCCCGGGGCCATGGGCGAGAGCACGCGGCTGTGACGGCCGAGTTGCTCTGTGCTCGCGCGCATCGAGGCCAGGCTCCGCTCTGACCGCTGAGCGGCGTGGGATTCACGGAAGATGCCCGCTGACGACGAAGGACAGCAGCAGAACGAAGTGTTCGCAGGTATGGCGACACGGGGGCCCGAGACCGCTTCGGCAAGCGGCAGCACCTCGGCTCCCGCAGCAGCAGCAACAGCGGCAACAGGAGCGCCACGATCGACCGCGGGCATCGACCAAGAGGTGCTGACCAGGACGGTGCAGATCATCGTTCAGGAGACCATGAGAAGTCTCGGCCATCTTGGCAAGCAACAGCAGCAGCCGCCACTGTCCTGACCGGCAGCCGGGGCAGACCCGTGGGAAAGCCGAGGGGCTGACCCATGGAGCAGTGGACGCGAACCGTCAGCCGACCATCAGAAGAAGGAGGCAGCAGGAGATGACCGCTGGTGGCACACGGCTGACAAGCATGGTGGTGAGCTCCAGGACGACTAGAAGTGGGACCAGAACTGGGGCGGCTGGCGGCAGAGCTCGCGGTCCGGAGGTCGAGGCGACTTCTCGGACCCTCCCGCCTGGCCAGGATGGGATCATTACCGCCAGTGGCGACGAGCCATTCGGCCATGGAACGACAATACTGACGCCGCCGTGTGGCGTTCGGAGAAGTTCATGAGGACCTTCGAATGGACGATGCAGGCCAAGTCCGACGACATCTCCGATAGCCAGCTCACGTCAACATCCTGGCTCGAGACCCTCCTCGCCAGGATGGACCTCATGATTTGGGAAAGGCGCCGTGCCGGGCGCAAGGTATTGTATCAGGTTGCTCGGGACTCCAAGGAGTCGCTGACCCAGCACGTGGGCCGACGCGAGGCCGAGTTCACCGAGGCCGAGGGCCATGATCGCTGGATGTCGGACAAGCTAAAGGGTCTGTTCCTCGACGAAGGCGCCAACTTGACGGCGCAAGGCGACCAGAACCTACGGACGTTGATTCGTGGCGACCTCTCCTACGACAGCGTGGAGTGGGCGCTGCGCCAGCTCGACTCTTCGACCGGGACCGAGCGGCTACTACCAGGCAAGACCGGCCCAGGCGCCCTGCTCGCGACATCAACAGCTTCTGGGGAGCCAGCACCGATGCTCAGCTCTCCTTTCCTTCGCGACGAAATACTTATCCCGATCCCCGTCCAGGGAAAAATCTAGCGGGTGTGCGTCGTTTTGTTCGAGGCCCGTGTGCGCCCATAGCAGAAACGTTGGCATGCCTCGCTGGGGAAACGAGCACCTCGCCAAACTCATTGGTTGATGTTTTGGGATTGGGATCGTCGTTCTGCTGGGGCGAGAGGAGCAGGCGCGGTCACGAAATGGCGCGAACGTTGGGATTGTGGGAGACGCGGGACGAGTTTGGGGATAAATATGTTCACCTTGTGGTTTTGCAACTTTAGGCATTTCCTGGGCGGATGACGCGGCGCGACGTGTCTCGACGCATGGCCGCTCGCAGGTCCAAGGGCACCAGGGGTGTTCTCCCTCGCGGCAATATGCTCGTCGACGCCCATGCCGAAGACGACGACGCCACGTGTAATGCTGCAGTCTTCGACCCCATGTCAAGCGGCAAGCTAATTCTGATAGATGAGGAGTCAGAAGTGGATCGCCGGCGAGAGACACCAGAACTCGAAGATCGTTCCCAGTCAGCCTCTCGCCGAGCTAAAGCTGGAGAGTCCTGGATTACCTGGAGAGATATGTTGGATGAGCTCGCTCCTCCTGGACTGGTCGACGGCGGTGGTGGTGGTGGTGTCCTCCAGTCGTCCTTCCGCTCCTCCTCTCTCCTCCCGTCATCATCCGTTAGCTCGGTTTTCCAATGGTCTGCTTCTTTGCCCCTAACTTCGTTCAAGTTGCTGCTGTTCTACTTCTGGGGCTCGCGGGTCCGAGCCGGTCAGACCCGCCGCTGCACAGTCAGTGGGCACGGACTTCTGGGGCAGTTTTCCGGGGACAGGTAAACCTACAGAAAGTTTGACCCATGCTCCAGGGGGCCACGCGTCGTCCATAGGCTCAGCTTTTGCGTTTCATTTCAGGGGCAGATGGTCAGAGATCCAAATTGTGCGCGTTCCGTTTCCACGGTGGCTCAAGGGAAAACATTATGTCTCATCTCCTGCTGCCGCGCTGGGTCACCGACCCGATCGGCGCAGAAGTGCCCGCGCGCGAGCGCGACTTGTGAAATTCACTGGCGGGCTCCATACTGTGAGCGCCATCGGTGTGCCAAACCGGCTGATTGATCTGCGCGGCAGCGCGCGCGCGCCCGCGCCGCCGTAGAAACGCGCTAGCAAGTTCCAACTGACAGCGGTTGGGTTGCGGTTGGGAGGGGGGGGGGGGTTGTGAGAGCGTTGGAGCTACAATTCATCATTGGCTTGGCGCACTGCGCAAGGCGTCATGGCGGCCGCATCAGTTGTGCCAGCCCAGCTGGCCGCCCTGCGCGCGAGCTTGCGCCCGCCAGCGCGGCTGCTGACATGTGCCAGTGCCAACCAGTCGCTGCAAGTGCCGCCGCATGGGTCTTGCAAACCAGTTGCGGTTGTGAGGGTGGGATGTTTGTGCGAGCGCTGGACTGGATCACTCAGGCATTGGCGTTCGGTTGTGCTCCTTTTCGCACGAATTGGACACGCGTCCCGAGCGCAGACTTATCGAGCCGCCCCCCCCCCCCCCCGGGGCGCAGCAGTTTAACATTCCAGCTGAACTACAGCCATCTTAGCCCAGCGGGCATCGACGCCCACCGTCATACCTGTCAACTAATACCATGCGCGCGCATTTGGCGATCTCGAAATACGATGTTTACCAAATCCTTTTTGGCGGGTCAAGCGCAACGATGTCCACACGCTCGCGCACACGTCGAAATCAGACCAACCACACCAAATGTCCAAACATTCTGACATACACGCATGAGGGCCCAATCAGGCTTTTTGGTGCAGAAATGCAGATGTTCTATCCGCGCGCAGTTGTTGAAACCATAATGGAATAATATAATGCATCCGCATTATTGCGCCACCATGCGGCGCATCCCCGCGTTGATCCACCATGCGCCCAGTGTACACATCGGTTTTAAGTAGTAGCGTGCGGGCCACACGCGCGCGCCGACACGCGCGCATGCTAAAATCCGCTCAGGACTTTTCCAATCATATAGATTAGTCATCAACAAACATTGTTCGTCAACTGCAGGCTGAAGCTCTTCAAGCATACGAGCGGACCTTGGCGACGGACCACGAGTATGCACTTGTGAATATCGCGTAGCAGGTGAGACGCAGGAGGCGGCCACGAAACGTGCGAGCGAAATGCCAGAATGGATGCGGTGG